CCCCCCCATGGTTTCTAATATGTGATTCTTCCCTGCTATTGTATGTATGTGGGGGTATTCCCCCCCCCCCAAAGGGATATGTTTTTTAAAGCTATGTATTTACATTTTTGTACAAAACAACCGTATCACCTTCAAAGTACTCTCCATTACACTTAAAAACATTTGTCAACATGGAAGAAGCACACCAGCCTGTGTGTTCATGAGGTGTCGATGGGATCAGGCATCTAAGACCCAGAACAAAATCATACCCAATGTGAATGGGGGCGGGGGGGGGACCATGGAGTAGAGACCCATACCCATCTGTAGACAATTGGACATCCCCTCACAGAGGGGTCAGAGGGAAGAGATGAGCCAGTCAGGGTTCAGTATAGCACCAATGAAACACAACTTTCCTCTAGCTCTTTGGTGTTTCTTTCCCCCCACTTTCATGACCTCAATTCTATCTTCCAAATCGGATTAGACCAGAGCATGCACACTGCTACAGATAAGAGCCCGAAACACAGGGAATCCAGGATAGATAAACCCCTCAGGGCAAACAATGAGAGTAGAGATTCCAGGAGGATTAAGAGAGGGTGGGGGGAAAAAGGGGGAATCATTCACAAGGATCAACCCCAAACCCTCTCCCAGGGGGACGAACAACAGAAAAGTGGGTGAGGGCGATGGAGGACAATGTAAGATATGAAAGTAATAATCTATAACTTATCAAAGGTTTGTGAGGGAGGGTGGGCGCGGGAGGGAGGGGGAAGAAATGGGGAGCTGATATCGGGCTCAAGTAGGAAGAGAATGCTTTCAAAATGATGATGGCAGCATAATGCAAATGTGCTTGACACAATGGATGAATGTATGGGTTGTGATAAAGATGTAAGAGCCCCAATAAAAGCATTATAAAAAATTGTCAAATCTGCAATTCCATTGTTTGAAACATTTTTCAAACTCATCTGTTTTGATAGCCGACAGCACCCCCCTCATTTTCTTCACCTCTTCTGCATCACCAACTCGTCGTTTCATGCCCCTTTTCATTCACTTGCACAGAGGTCAGGTGAGTCAGGTGTGTGGGGTAAGAGAGGCATGCTGTTTTTGCCAAAAATTGGCACACTGAGATGGCTGCCTGAGCAGGGCTATTGTGGCAAAACCAGATTCCTGTCTGCCACAAATCAGGCCTATTTTGTTGCACACTGTTAACCAATCATTTCAGAACCTTTAAATAGAAAGCTCAATTAACAGTCTGATCTGGTGGAACAAACTCCAAATGTACTATCCCCCTCACATCAAAAGAAAACACGTGCATCTTCTTGATCTTTGATTTTACTTGAGTTTTTGGGGGGGCTGAGGTGACGATGGCATTTTTCACTGGCTTGATGTTTGCTTTCGGGGTACTAAGAATAGCACCATGTATTTTAGCCGAGAGGAATTTCTGAAACCAGAATGAAGGCCGAATATGATAGTGGGACAAGAGGAAAGTAAAAAGAAATAGAGGAAAGAACTAGAAGGCAAAGGATATTTATACAGATCTAAATACAGGCATGTACATAGGTAAATATGTATAATGATAGGGAAATAGATCTGTGTACATATATTTTAAGTATTAAGGTAGCAAATGGACATGGAGCTTCTACTCAAGTACTCTCTCAGCGCAAGAACACTTTGTTCTAATAACCTGGCATTCCATGATGCTCACCTTCCCGACATGATTGCTGAAGATAAAATGGGTGCATAAGCAAATGTGGTAAAGAATGCCAGGTTATCAAAAGATATAGCGTCTGGGATCTTAAAGGATTGATGATAAACAAGTGACCATCTAGCTCAGAAGCAACAAGGCCCCCATGGAAAAGGCACACCAGCCTGTGTGATCATGCGGTATCCATGGGATCAGGGATCAGGCATCAGACCCAGAACAAAAAAATCATATCATTGTGAATGAGGGGCAGTGCAGAGTGAAGACCCAAAGCCTGTCTGTAGACAATTGGACATCCCTTTACAGCATGGTCACAAGGAAGAGAGAGCCAGTCAGGGTGCAGTATAGCACTGATGAAACAGACATTTCCTCTAATTCTTTAATGCTTTCTCTCCCCACTATCATGATCCCAATTCTACCTTGCAAATCTGGTTAGACTAGAGCATGTCCACGGGTACAGACAGATAGAGCTGAAAACATGGGGAATCCAGGACAGATAAACCCCTCAGGACCAATAATGAGATTAGCAATACCAGGTGGGGGAGAGGGTTTTGGGGGGAAATGGGCTAGCTTATCACAATGATCTATCTAATCCCCTCCCAGGGGGACGGACAACAGAAAGGTGGGTGAAGGGAGACCCAGCAATCAGTGTAAGACTTGAAAAAATAATCTATAAATTATCAAGGGTTCATGAGGGAGGGCGGGGTGGGAATGAGCTGATACCAAGGGCTCAAAGAGAAAATGTTTTGAAAATGATGATGGCAACATATGTACAAACGTGTTTGACATGATGGATTTATGGATTGTGATAAGAGCGTACGAGCCTCCGATAAAATGATTTAAATTTAACAACAAAGAATAGCACCATGTCTCCTCACCAGTAGTCACTTCGGAGCTGTTCTTTCAAAGCAAGAAATGTTTCCAGTCGGTGCTTTTTTTCCTGGTCAGTCACAACCCAAGGCAAACATTTCACAGCGAGCGGCCCTTTTCGTTCTCAAATCTTATGTTACAATTCCCTGAGCCGAGCTCCAAGATAGTCCCGATAACTTCCCATCTCTTCAGTGGTCTGTCATCGGTCTTCAAGCTCAAGTTGCACAGACTTTGTTCAGCATTTTCGTCTGTTCTGGACGTTGACACGGACGTCCAGAACGAGGTTTGTCATCAACATTTCACCTTTTTGGAAACAAGGAAACCGTTTGTACACTTGATTTTTTTCCCCTCATAGTGCTGTCCTCGTAAGCTGTGTTCAACATCACGACAGTTTCCGCAGCATTTTTCCCAAGCACGAAACAATTTCAAGGCTGCACACTATTCTCTTAAATCAGCCATCACAAAAAATGAGGTTTCAGCAAAACTGCTCTTATGAAAAAATTCACCGTGACCAGAGAGAACCTTCCCAGGCTATGCCCCTGGGTGCATTAACTCAGAGTGAGTTGCTGGATGCTCCCCTAGCGGGAAGAATGCTTTCTGTTTTTTTGGTTTTTTTTTGGAAACCCTTCATATTTAGAGTTTGCTCCTATTGTTGAATCGTATTCCATGGCATATACTACAATTACAATTTGTTGATCCATTTCCTTGCTGATGAACATATGTGGGTTTACCCGATTAGAAATAAAACTGCTATGACTTTGTACACGAAGACAAGTCTTTCTTACTGAATGGCTTTGTCATATGGTTTGTGTATATTTCACTTCCCAAGAACCTGTCAGCTTTACAAAGGGATCGCCCCATTTTACAATTCCATCGGCTGCACGTGAAAGCTCCAGTTGCCATTTTGGAGTCACTTTACATTGATAGTTGATCATACTGGTAATTGTTTTTTGGAGGGGGGCAGGTGAAGTAGGCGGTATTTTTCCCCAGAACTTTAGGGAAATAATATTTTTGGAGAATTTATGAAAATCTGGAGCACTTTTTAATAAGACACAATCACTGTTTTAGTATGAGAAATGAGAAAATGTATTAAATTTTGATTTCATAGAGGAAAATAATACTTATGTATTGGGAGTTTGTTTTTCTATGTGATCACTATGATATTGTGACTCAGACAGAATTAATGGCTGCAACTCTCGAGAAAGGGTAAGGGTACAGATGGTTTTCTTGAGAAGTGTGTTGGCAAAATCCTCTTAAGTCATTCACAGGGTACCAAACATCTCTCCTGATGTTTAACACACGTTTTCTTTTTTCTTGCAACCTTAGAAGAAATCTGAATTCATTTGCTTACTCCAGTAAAGTAGTTAACTTGCATATAAGGACTATGACTAATGAAAAATAATGTAGACTGCTAGAATCCCATTCAGCTTGATGTGAGGCATGTAGGAACTAACATAAATTGAGGGAACAAGAGATTCCTATCATTCTTGGTCATAAGCATGTGCTTCATTAAGCTGCATAGTGGGTGGAATTACTCATTTTATTTTCATTTGTTCCTCTCTTATCTCTGAATTTTGAATTTTTTGAATTCTAAATGTATATTTGATGTGATTTGCAGTGTAAGGAAATTATAACAGCTGAAGCCAAATGCATATAACAACAATAACAATAATAATATAATATTAAAAGGCTGACTGATAAAAATGTCTATCAAATCTGTGCCTGTCAGCCCTTCTTAGCTAATAACCCTAGACCATTAGCAAGGATAAGTAACTATCCATACCTAGCGCTTCTTTCCACTCTTTCTTTTCTTGATTTACTGAATTGGCTACTTTCTTCTCTTGTACCATCTCCATTCCTTTGTTGTACCCCAAACTCCCCTGATATTATCTTATTTCACCAGTATCATTACAGCGTTTTCCCCCCTTTAAAATGTTATAAAATCATACATAGAAATATAAATCAATAGTGAAATTATATTTTGTAGCTTTAAAAATTATGGTCTACTTTCATGAACCTGAACTTCTTAACTATTGATTAGCATCCCGAATAATATTACATAAAAGATTGAATCAAAATGAGTTAATATCTATAATGCATCGTTTGATTTTGTATTGCACGAATTAATAATGTGCTTCCCTTTCACTAACTTGAGTAAGAACTGATGAGACATTATGGCACGGAAGAACGACAGACAGTGTTTCACAAGCCCTCCGCTCTAGCCTTGCCTTTAACCCATTTGTGGTCCTGTGCATGTCACATTGCTCATTTCTAGAAGGTACCTGGAAATTAGGAAAATGTTACTCTGAAATAGGGGAGGCAAATGTGCAAAACAAGTGGTTTTAAAAAAATTATGTTTATCTTTTTTATAAGTTATCCTTGAAAGTTAATGACTTTACTAGAAATGCTGTATACTTACTCCCTTTTGATTTTGTGTATATTTCATCTGTTGCAGGATGTTTTAACCTGGATCCCAATAGAGTTTTGGATGTCATTTTAGAAGTATTTGAATGCAGGCCAGAATACGATGACTTCTTTATACCATTATTAGAATCTTACATGAGTATGTGTGAACCGCAAACATTGTGTCATATTCTTGGGTTCAAATTCAAGTTTTATCAGGTAATAAAAACCAGAACTATATATACATGTACATATATATATATACACACACACATATGTTAATCTCATGATTTTTATATGTGTAATTTCTGAATTTTATTTGTGATTGATTGGTTTCAGTGTATTCTTGCAGAGAGAGATGCACGGTTAGGTAACAATACAATGTAATAAGTAGTAGCAGTAGAAGAAATAATTTGATATACAAGCCCAGAGGGAAGCATGATTAATTTTTGTTCTGGGAGACAGGGATTATTTTACAGGCATGACTTCCTATAACTTGGTCCTTGAAGGATGAGTAAGAGTTAGTTGAGAGTTTTCTCTTCAGAAGTAACAATGTGAGAGAGAACACATGGCTGTGTGAATGTACATGCATGTTGAAAGTATGATATGGTTGAATTGTACAATGTGGGTGCAAGAAAGGGCAGGAATCGAAGCTAGATAGGTTGGCTCACTTTAGATCGTTAAGAGACTTAATATATACGTAGAGCTAGAACTTTATTGGAGGATAGTAGACCTTAGAATTTTTCCTATATGTGAATAAAATACTTAGGCCATATTTTACATAGGTTGTTTTTCATTTAAACCACTACAATAGATAGCTCAAATCTCCATACCTCCTTCAGTCCATCTTCTATTCTATTGCTGCTGTTGCTTTAAAATGATTTTTTTTAAAAAGATCTAAGTGAGGCACTTCACTGTGCAAACTCTTTTGCCTTTGTGATGATTTAAAACTCCTGAATGTGAAAAAAACAAAACAAAAATCAAAAGAAAGTTTCTTCATAGTGTAGCCTTGAACGTTTCTTTCCAGCCTGATCTGTAATAATAAATCTGTCAGATGCCTAGCCATTTCCCGCACTTATGTATAGGCATTACTGTGTACTTGTGTTTATACAGTTCCTTGCAACTAAGAATTTATCCTTACCTAGTCCTCTCACCTCTCTTTTGTTCATCTTGTGAATTCATACTTCTTTCTGAAGATCAAGTGGTACTTGCTCTGTAAAGTAATGTTGCCCCTGCAAATATGTTCTCATATGACTCGGTACATACTTCCAATACTATCATCTGTTATGTAAATGATGTCTTATCTCCTTCATCAGATGTGTGCAACTTAGATTCTGCTTTCATAATTTCTGAGGATTAGTTTACTGCTTTGCGTATAATACAGTTTATTAAATGTAAGTGAATGGATTCTGTATTAGAAACATGATTTTCTAGTTAGTAGATAGTTTGGAAGATTTTAATGTAACCTTCACTGTCCTTTTGTCTATTTGCTTGGAATGATCAATTAGCCAGGAATACACATTTATAGCGTGTTTTATTATATGCTGTTGCTTTGCTAGACAGGGAGCATATTCAAATGAAGAATTCCTGTCCTGTTGGAGTTTGAATTACAGTTTGTTAGAAGGTTTTTTGAATTTTCAAGTTATATATCACTGCTTATATATATTGCATATATATATTATATGTTCATTTTCTATTTTCTGCATGTGTCAGAAGAAAGAAAGCAGAGCTAAAAGTATATAATACTTTGAACCCAAACAAAGCATGTGAAAAGGTTTTAGAGCCAATTCCTTATACCTTCATATTTGTTTAAAAATTCATGATGGCAGCTGCTCCTTTTCTTAATAATAAGCCAAGGAGCATACTCTTAATACATGGGAAGAGAAATTCAAGTATCCCATCAGGTTTTTAGAGGCTCCATGGGAACATGAAGCCAACTGCTGACGTGACAAGAGCTGGAATTTGCTTTGAACATGAGGAATTAGGATGTACGTTAAAGCTTTAGAGACTCTGGTTTTCAGAGCAGATTACAGTGAATAATGAGGACCTACTATTTACAACCAAGGATTGTTAATTTAATGTGCATTTTAGAATTCAGAATATTTTTTTAACGTTAAAACATTTCTCATAATGTGAACCGTTTGTGAGTCATGGAAACCCACAAGGGCAGTTCTGTGTTGTCCCAAAGGTCGCTATGAATTGGAATCGACTCCATGACAGTGAGTGTGAGGTGTTTTTTTTTCTTTTTTTTTGAGAGTCGACAATTTTCTGTTTACATTTTTTACTTAAGTGTACCCAAGCAAAAAAACATTTCATTTTGAAATGATTTCCTTTTAGAAAGAGTTACCCCAGTGTGGCTCTTTGCAGCACTATATTTTGTTGTCCCTATTGCCAGAGCTATCTTTTTGTAAGAATGTTCTATTTTAAGGGCCACTGAGGGCAAGGAGCTTAGAGATTTTAGGTATTTTGTGATTTGGAGGTAAAGTAAGGAAAGCTATGAAAATCAAGAGCTCTTTGGGGCTTGAAACCTCGAGAGTATATCCTTAGGCCCTTATGGCCTACATATTAGGCTCTTGTCTAATCCCCTTTTCCCTGTCCATCTCTCAGCCACAACCCATATCCTGACCGGTTGAGAATTATTTGGATTAAAATAAAAGCAACTAATTGCAATAAAGCAAGTCACCTGAACTTTTTTGTTTGCTGGTGTATATTAAAGTTATATATAAACCCAACTGAAGATTATTATTATTTTTAAAAAGAATTTTATTGGGGGCTCCTACAGCTCTTATCACAATCAATACATACATCCATTGTGTTAAGCACATTTGTACATTTGTTGCCATCATCATTCAAAGCATTTTCTTTCTACTTGAGCCCTTGGTAACAGCTCCTCATTTTTTTCCCCTTCCTCCCCTACTCTAACATCCCTTCCCAACCCTTGGTAATTTATAAATTTCATTTTTCCACGTCTTACACTGACTGATGTCTCCTTCACCCACTTTTCTGTTGTCCATCCCCCAGGGAGGGGGTTATATAGGTAGATCATTGTGGTCAGTTCCCACTTTCTACCCCCACCTTCCCCTTCCCCTCCTGGTATGGCTACTCATTATTGGTCCTGAGGGGTTTATCTGTCCTGGATTCCCTGTATTTCCGGCTCTTTCTGTACCCATGTATATGCTCAGGTCTAGCTGGATTTGTAAGGTGGAATTGGGCTCATGATAGTGGTGGGGGAGGAAGCATTAAAGAACTAGAGGAAAGTTGTATGTTTCATTGGTGCTATACTATACCCTAACTGGCTCATCTCTTTCTTGTGACCCTTCTGTAAGGAGATTTCCAATGGTCTACAGATGGGCTTTGGGTCTCCAATCTACTCTCCCTTTCATTCACAGTGATATGATTTTTTTGTTCTGGGTCTTTGATGCCTGATACCTGATTCCAATGACACCTCGTGATCACAGAGGCTGGTGTGCTTCTTCTATGTGGACTTTGTTGCTTCTTAGCTATATGGCCATTTGTTTGTCTTCAAGCCTTTAAGATCCCAGACGCTATATCCTTTGATAGCTGGGCACCGTCAGCTTTCTTCACCACATTTGCTATGCACCCATTTTGCTGTCAGTGAGCCTTTAGGAGTATTTTCCAGTTGAGTCTTCATGGTAGGGCCGGCCCTCTGGTCCTCTCTGTGCATTGGCTTCTCTGAGCAGGGATATCGTTCTTGGGGCTTGGTGGGCCAGGACGTGCTCCACTCTCTCTCCTTCCCTCTTTATTTGCTCCTGTGTGCTCTGATCCGACATTCCACTCTCCTTTTTTTTATTTTATTGAGACAGTGAGAGAGTGAGTCAGTGAGAGAGTGAGACAGTGAGTGAGTGAGGCAGTGAGTGAGTGAGTGAGGCAGTGAGTGAGTGAAGCAGTGAGAAAGAGAGGCAGTGAGTGAGTGAGGCAGTGAGTGAGTGAAGCAGTGAGAGAGTGAGGCAGTGAGTGAGTCAGTGAGAAAGTGAGGCAGTGAGTCGACATTCCACTCTCTGTAGGTTCAGTTCTGTCCTCTGTATTGCATTCTTCTGGGAGGGAGAGGGGGTTGTGCACGTAGTTGGGATTGTGGCCAGCCCTGCAGACCTCTCTGTTGGTCCCCTGCCTTCATGTCTTGGTGCACTGGGTTGGAGTCTGGTCCCTCTCTTCCTCTCCTCTCCATCAAAGCTGGAGGAAAGGCAATTTGAAAGTATTCCAAAATGAAGTAGAGTAGAGACAGGGACAGTGAGTTAGAAGCTAAAATCTTGGCAAATGAGGGTCAGTGACTCAGGTATCCATAGATGGCAGGGTTCTCTCCCTCCATAAAAAGCAATTTATATCAAGGATTCATGAGGGAGGGAGGGAGAAAAATGAGGAGCTGATACCAAGGACTCTAAGTAGAAAGAAAGTGTTTTGAGAATGAGGATGTCAAGAAATGTACTTGATAAATAAATGGATGTATGTATGGATTGTGATAAGAGTTGTATGAGCCCCTAATAAATGATATTTAAAAAAAGCAATTTATATGCTGGCAAAAACTATCAGAACCAACTTTTGCAGAACTCAGGAATCTAGTAAAACATGTTCAACAGGCAGAGGAAAATCTGACAGAGAAGTTATTCTGTCGTAAGAGAACACGTGTTCCTAACTCCCTGCCTGCCATCCTTCGCTCATTACATTAGCAGCCCTAGGCACAGAAACCCAGTCTCTTGTGTGGGTTGTCAGTGTCAGTGGGAGCTCAGAGTGGTTGTGCTTGTGGACCTGCGTGACTGCTCTGTGAAGGACTCGTGCCAAGGCTTACCCTTTTGGCGTCTTGAATAGCTTTTGTCAAAAGTGTTTAAAGGTGTAAGTATTGGTCACAGCAGCCTGGGACAAAAGGCAACCGTTGGGCCAGACAATATAGAGAGCATGAAAAGTCTGGGAAGGAGGAAGCTGGGGAGGGTTTGGGGGAAATAAGGAACTTTCAAAACCACATATACCGAGATGCCCCTAAGCTTTCTGTTAGTAGGAAGTTAGGTGCCTGACTAGGTTCCGAACACACATCTAATCTGCAAAGACTGGGAGAGTAGCTTTTTCCCGTTCTCGTTTGTTTTGCTCAGGGTGTTTAAGAAATAACTATCAGGTGTTGTTGGGCAGCTAACTGTAAGCTCTGCAGTTCATAACCACCATTTCTGTGGGAGCAAGACAGGGCTTCCTCAGAAACTCAACTGAGGCCAGCTCTCACTTGTCCTATAGGGTCATGAGTTGGCATTGACTCCGTAGCAGTGAGTGAATGAATAAGATCAATATATCATATGATCCTTAAGGTAGAACACAGACTTCAGTGTCCATACATGACAAAGAATTTACTTCACAACTTAGTTCATATCAGTAATGACTCTAAATGCACAGTTTTCCAATCAAAAGGCAGATTTTGGCAGAATGATACATCAACCTGCTGCCTATAAGAGACTATAGATCCTAAACAAGAAATAGGTTGAAAATGAAAGGATAGGAAAGGAGACCCCATATAACTAGTAAATAAAAAAAAAAGGTAGGGTGGCTATGCTCATAACGGACAAAATAGATTGTAAAGAAAAGTTTTACAAGGGAAAAGGGGAGGTTTTATATTGATAAAAGGTTAATTCACCAGGATGTGACAATTTGTAAACCTATCCATAGCAAACAACAGAGCCTCCGACTATATGTACTTTATAATTGTTGGACATTTCCTGTAGCCCACTCAGTATTGGATAGAGAAACTAGAGAAAAGTTCAATAAGAAATAGTACAATACAAATGTGCTTGACCCAATGGATGTATGTATGCATTGTGATAAGAGTTGTACGAGCCCCCAATAAAATGATTTTTAAAAGATGAACAAAAATAGTACAATACTACAAACCACTTAGACCCAACACTATTCCACAGCATTCCTCTAAACACCTGCAGAACATATATTCTCCAGTGCATGTGAATACTTTTTCAGGTCTCAAGTTTAAAGACCATACAAATGATCTTCGAATTCAAAGGAAAGCTAGTAGAATGAAACTAGCTCTCAGCCACAGTGGGAATTAAGAGACTGATGGGAAATGCAAATCTTAGAGGGCTTTAGGAAGAGTATACAGGGAGCCTAGAAACAATCATCAAGAGCAAAGCAAACTATCCAACCTCAAGGTCCATTAGTGTATGTGGGTGGGTGGGGGTCTCTAGACACCATTTGACTGGGTTATAGTGAGAGTGATGTACTTAAAGGAGAGCCAGATTTCCGTTGCACAGTTTTGCTAATTGTGGGTCCTGAACTGCAGTGGTCACTATGGCAGAGCTTCAAGAAAGGAGGAAAGGACAGAACAGGGATTGTGCAGAGCAATGCAAAGATTAGAGCAGGGGTCCTCATACTGTGGCCCGCGGGTCACATGCGGCCTGCTGAGGATATTTATCCAGGCGGCCGGGTGTGTTTGCCCCGTTTTGTTTTTTACTTCAAAATAAGATATGTGCAGCAGTGTGCATAGGAATTTGTTCATAGTTTTTTTTTAGACTATGGTCCAGCCCTCCAGTGGGTCTGAGGAACAGTGAACTGGCCCCCGGTTTAAAAAGTATGAGGAGCCCTGGCCTAGAGCCTGGGAGATACCCTGTGACCCAGGCATCTGGGAGTTCTTGGGGTTCATTTCACAAGGGCTAAAAGGATTAATGAGAGTACTTCTGGTGGCTAAAGTAAGGTGTAAATAAGATTTTGTGGTTTTGGTCTGGTACCCTGACTATCATTTCTTGTTTATATAACTACAAACACACACTTGAGGACTACCTGTTAAAAAACTAAAGTGAAGCAGAATGCCTTATTAGTTTGGTTAACTTCATATGTAATGTATAGCATAGTCATCACAGTTGGAGGAGGAACCTTACATACAATTGTCTCAGTTTCAGTAGAGTTACAATTCGAGTGTAATGTATTGTCCCGGTTTGCTCTTTATTTGCATTTGCCTTCGTAGTATTTGCAAGTAGTTGTCACTTAACCTCTCTGTTCATCTGAACCCCAGTAGTTTAAAAACCCAAGAAAACACTCCTAAAATTGATGGCATTCCAAAGTGCTTGCATTTTTGGGGTAGAGCGTTCTCAGGGCTAGCCTGGAATTGACTTTGTTATTCTTGATTTTTAAATGTTGTAATATGTGTAGGAGCCCTGATGTTGACAACTATTAAGCTCACTGAACAGTTGGTGGCTCAAACCCACCCAGTAGCTCCATGAATGAGAGACCTGGTGATCTGCCTCCTGTAAAGCTTACTGCCTAGAAAACTCTACAGGGTAGATCCACTCTGTCACATGGGATGGGTATGAATCCAAAAAGTGACTCAGTGGCCCTAACAATTGTTTGAAGGAAAAGTTATTGGATAAACAGATACACTAAAGATAGAACTCAAGAAATCAAAGTAGATAAAGTATAAAGCAAACACTTGCTTCTGCATTTCCACATTTGCCAGTTGTGTCCATTTGCTCTCCACTGAAAACTTGTAAAAGCAAGTTAAGAAAACTTATACACAAACAGAAACCCAGAGTCAATATTATGCAGTGTAAAACCACTTACTCTATTCCGTAGTCAGATTTCATTCAAATATGAGCATGTACCCTAAAATGTGTCCATTCTCAAAATGTTTCCTTGTGCTCATCAGGACTCTGTCCCTGTGTGGAAAGGGCTGTTGACATCCTAATCTTTTTCTGCATTCAGACATTAAGTAGAACAGGGAGAGCAATGAAGTATATTCTTGGCCTAGAACCTTTTAACTTATTATGAAAGATTATGATTTTATTTGTTTTCTATGTGCTAAATAGAAACATTTTCCTTTTTATTTTTTTAAAGGAACCAAGTGGAGAGACTCCGTCGTCTTTATACAGAGTTGCAGCTGTACTTCTGCAGTTCAATCTTATTGATTTAGATGATCTTTATGTACATGTAAGTCAAATGGTCTGCTAAGAGTATTTGGTTGTCTATTTATAGAAAATTATGGAGGACAGTGAGAGCCCCAAATCCATCTGCAAGGTACCTATTCAAATCAAGCTTCTGACAGATCCCCTCTGGCCACAGTTGAGGGACTCGAACAGCCTTAATATCAGACAGAGATTATTATAAACTTGATTATGGTTGATGGTACTATGGTGTGAAACCGGGTCGGTTGACCTCTCTCTTGACCCATTCTGAATTTGCTTTAGGTTAAAATATTTCTTACTTGTTCCAAGACAGATTTTTTTTTTCCTATGGTTTATCTTAATATTGCTGGTGGTCTTTTTTCCCCCTTCCATCTGCCGGTGGTCGTCTCCCTCTCTCTGCAGTTTTATTTTTGTTGTTTATTGTTTCTGCTATATTGCCCAGTTTATGAAACACAGAAAGAGTAGATGCATAGAGACAGTGACTGATGTAATAGTTTTATCGGGGAAGGGTGGAAGGGTGAGGGGAATTGGGCAAATAAAATCAATATGGGAGGGAGGAGGGTACACTAGAACTGATTGTATGTATATGCAACTCTTTACAAGTAACAATTATGATCAAAAGATATAGCGTCTGGGGTCTTAAAAGCTTGAAGGTAAACAAGCGGCCATCTAGCTCAGAAGCAACAAAGCCCACATGGAACAACA